CAACAGGTGGTGACTCTGCCTAAGATTTATGGAAGAAGAGGCAGGCAAGATGATTAGGGAAAAGATAAGAATAATAATTGTTGGCTCCTAAAGAGTATAAAACTCCTGTCCAAAATCTAGCTCATTGCTGTCAACCAAAAGGAACCCTGAAGATGTAATGAGGATTCATCATTAAGGCATTCCTTGAGCTCGGTGTCACACAAGAGTGAGCCTGACCAGGCCTCCCGGATGCACACACAGGTCTTGGTGCTTCTGAGGACGTGGCTATGAGGGTGAGAGTGGGAAAACTGACTTGCTTAGAAAATCAGGTGAAACAAAATATGAATTCTTCTTTCCATAATGCCTCACGTTTAGGTGTGATTCAGTATATTTGTGGAGGGGAAAGGAAAGCCTCCCAACAGGAGGCCCAGCAGGATCCTTACCATGCTCCAGAGCAACCAGTCCCTTCTCATACGAAGGTCCCCTGCAGAATTTTTCTTGCAGATCCTTTTTTCTAAGGCACTAACCCCCTGTCTGACAGCTGTTTCAAAGCACTACACAAGACCAAAATTCAAAAAGTAGAAAAAATCCAACTGCAGCAGGCAGCTGGAGAAGAGAAATAAGATGAAATAAGATAATCTCCAAACTGTACACGTATCTAATTTCCTCATCACTCAGACCATTCCCACGTACTCACTGAGGTGGCATCTGAATGCTGTGTACTCACCAACGACTCTGTTTACATTTTAAAAGAACCCTCTGGTCTGCAACAGGGCTGAGGTAGAATGAAAAAATCCCCAAGAAGCCTGGACGCCAAATTTAAATTGCCCAGGACATGATGTTTTTGGAGTAGTTTGCATCAAACTGCACTTCTTGTGCTCACAGCACAACCCCCACTGATTTAAGCAGCACTGGTGGATGTAAAGTGTTTCTCCAGAATCCCAAATCACATATGAAGAAAATGAAAAATAGCTAATTAGAAAGCACTCATCAGAAATTACCCTATACTGTGTTCAGTCATTTGTAGCACAGTGTATTATGTACAGTTATCAAGGGCACTGTTTTTCGTGCTTCAGTGATGGACTTGTCCTTCTCTTGCACACCTCTGTTCTATTCTCTTTAAAACTTGTTCCTCTGCTGGCCACTGGCCACTGGCTTATCCCTGGATCAGGTTGTTAAAGCTCACTGCCCAATCTGCCTCTTCTTTGCTTTTCATGAATTCATAGAAAATTATGAACTATATCCATCCCTCCTGCTCTTCGTAATTAAATGAAGCAGCATCAGCACTTCTCACACTCCCTCTGTGCTCAGATCCAGCATTGGGCAGAGCCTGGAGGAGAAAGATTTTCAACCTGGCACAGGGATGCAGGATCCAGAACTGTGACTGCAGGAGCTCCTCAGACCCACCTGGAACAAATGCTGTTGTGCCTGGGCATTTGGGGACTTTGTCTACCAGAGTTATGGCACATTTCTACATATGTAGCTGTTCAACGGATGATAACTGCACCCAAAGATAGAGAATCTTAAGATGTTACCTTCAGCTTCAGACAGAGCATCTTACTGAGTTCAGACCATCTAATCAACTGTTAACCTGCAACCTCTCTCACACCAACAGCTCCTGTGCATGGGACTCCCAGTACATCCAGCAAGGCCAGCAGGACCAAGGTCCAACCAGCAGTCACAGTGATTTCCCAGAATGGTGGGATGACAGCTGATGCAAGAGCTATCATTCCAGCATGTCCTTCTCCAGCAGGAAAACTGAGAGACTTTTTCCCCTCAAAGTTTCAGGCCCTAAAGTCTCTGAACAGCCTTGTGCCTGGGGGATGCACAGAGTGTAAGCTCCTGCCTGTATTTGATGATAAGTATCACAAATCAAAGTCACCATTCAGACCAAACTCTGAAAACACTCTGGAAGCAGTGGTTTATGGGCAAGAATGAAACTTCGGACATCAAGCTCAACTGAGTTGTTGTCAGACAACAAACAGAATAATCACGGTTGAAGTAAGTATTTGTTCTTGAGTCTTTTAAGCTTCAGACTCACTGGGAAAAGAAAGCAAAAATGAAAGGAAGTGACAGAAAAAAATAAACCAATAAAGCATAAAAAGATGAATCCAAAATGCTAAAAAAATTTCACTTTCCTCTCTAAGACTGATAACAGCAGAATCATACTTTGAAAATGCTTTGTTTTAGTTTTTCAAGGAGAGCAACCTGGCCCTGTGCTCACCAACTCTCCCCAGCCAGATGGTGATGTTGACAGGACAGAGCTACGGATGTGTTTGTCTGCCAGAAGCCATAAGAGGCACGTGGCCACGCACCGGAGTGAAGATGCTTTAAAGGATCAGAGTGGAAGGTCAAGGTACTGGCAAAAATCTAACTTGCAGAAGTAAATTTCCAGGCAGACTTCCTCTGTCAAGTCCTTCATGACCAAACAGAGAAAGAAACCTGAAAAATATTAGATACTATAGGAAAATTTGAAATATTGCATTTCCCTAAGAGCAGATTTAAAAAAAACCAACAAACTCACAATTAGGTAATATTTTCCACTGCTGAAGCCAGGTGACTCTGTAGGAAAACCAATCTATAGCCTTGATCATTTGCTTGCCCTAGTGAAGAAATAAGAAAGATGCCTTTGGGAAGGATCTCTTGATCTCCTCTCATTCTCCTCCTTTTACTCAAAACAGGGAAACTCTTCTGTTCGTTCCTAGCTTAAGCTGAGTAAAGCCATTCCAGAAATCCAAGTAAAGGAAGATTTTAATTAATGAATACAAAATTACAGATGTGTAGCCATCAAAATGGTTTTGTTCAACACTTACAAAATCTGTGACAAAATTAAGGTAGGAAGAAGATGGTGTGGGATCCCCTTCCGTTCCTTGTACCACCCCCGTCCCTTCTGTCCTGACTCTGAATCTCTTCTTCCTCGCCTTTCAGCTTCCTCTTCACCACTTTTCCCCTTCCTCTTTGCTGCCAGTGAGTGAACACTTGCTGCTAGAAACTGCACATAAACACAGACTGATTTTCTTTTGACCGAGGGAACCAAATGTGGCAGCTAAATTGTTGCTTTATTCCTTGCACACATGTGCACGCACACGTTTTTCCTCTCTCAGGGAAATATTTTAGTACCTGGGAGAAATGTTATGGGGTTATAAGGGACTCCAAAAGTAAATCGGAGCTGTGTAATTACAAGGAAGGAAGAGGCAAAGGGAATAATGAAAGGATAATGTCCACTGAATGGACTTTGGAGGGGATGAGGTCACTTCTCAAGCACTTATAAAAAGAGGTTTCCAACACCACAATACATCTCTCTTGTACAGCAGAAATGGGCTGAGGTCCTTGCTTCTCTCACATGCTTTGGAATGTTAATTTAAAACTTCTTATACTGAACATAACAGGTTAGATCTTGAGCAACTGGAATCAGAGAATGGGTCTGATTTCCAGCAGTTCAGAGTATGTCCAAGGCTATCGTGGTTCTAAAAATATCCCATCACTGCTTTTCTCTTTTAAGTGCATAGTATCAGATTTTTAGGTACTTAGGATTCTCAAAGGTTTATTTGCTGGTAAAGAGCTGAGATCTGCTGTCACTGGACAGAAAGGGACCTACAGCAATCATCTAGTCCAGCTACATGTCAGACCACTTCAGGGCTGATGTTGCAAATGTTAAGGGAGGAAATAGGACTTGGCTTAAGGGGTCAAAGCAAGCAGGAGGAAAGGTTTGATTCTGCACATCCATGACACAAAGTACTCTGACTCATGGGACAGTAAAATTGCACTGGATTCAAAGTGAGAGACTTTCACCTTGTGAAAGGACGGGCTAGCTGCAAGGAGTGGTAGGCATTTCAGTCTCTTTAAACACTCAGGAGTGAAAGACCTGCAGAAGACATAAAATTATTTCAGAAATGTAAGTTTATTACAGGACACTGGGAAAAACACTTTCTGTTTTTTTTCCCCATTTATAGTCATTTATAAAAAGATTTTTCTTGCTTCACTGCCAGCTGCTACAAGTTGAACGTGGAATGAGGCACCCTGATGTGACTTTCAAGCTAATTTCCAGAACACAGAGAGAGTTATTGCTTTCCTGTGCAATACAAGGTACAGTTTTTGGAATGCCCTTTTTTTTTTAGTTATTCAAAGTCAGATTTTCTTCTGCTAAGAACATTAAGTTCAGCAAAATACGCCAGACAGCTGAAGTCACAACAATTTTCTTAGCTACCCCAAGAAGGACACATCTCACTCATCTTTAAATGCACCAAAATTGTGCAATCACCAGAAGATATCTTGCAGAGAAATGTTCCACTTTTATTACTTGCTATCACAGATATCATCTGTTCTCTCAAAGCAGTTCATTTATGAATTGATTCCAGAGAGCTAACATATTAGTTGGGATGAAATGTCCCAGATGTCTGATCTGAGAAGTACTCAGGTGCTTTACAGGATAAGAGGGCAACATTCAGAGGCAAATTAAAAAGTCAAACTGTGGGATCTTTTATCTGCCACTTGACAATAATGTAGAGGTGCTCCAATCACAAGGTTCTGGTAGGAACTCAAAGTAGTGTTTAACTGCCTGCTCTTCAACTGTGGATGGTACGTCCAACATTCTCAAAAGTAGCTTTTTGACATTTAGGCCCCAGTTCAGAAGGGATGTCTTCCCACTCTGTTGCACGGGATCTAAGTCAGCAACCTAAAGGTCTATATCTCAATCATTTTCATGTTGCTATAAAGAGACTTAGAAAGGGGGAGGAAGGCCTGATGTGATTAGGTTGTTGATTTAGTGTTTAAGTACCAGCAAAACAGACACACAGCTTCAGTAGTAAAAAGGCTTAGTCATGCAGATAACAGTGACATACAAAGAGAATATATAAATATAATATATATATAATATACAAAAGAGAATTCTGTCCTGCAAGCCAACCCAAAGTCAACTTCACAAAGAGAGCTCCTTCCTGGGAAGAGTTTGCTTTCTCCTCCTTAGGGGCTTCACGCCACTTCATCAGCCTGCCTCAAACATCTATGCGCGGTTCTCATAGATCTCCCTGGGCCGCCATTTAGCTCACAGCTACTATCGGCTCAAGTGCAGAGATGTCTGTCTTTCCTGACTGGGTGTTGGAGGCTGATGGAAGGACGTGGGAGACCTGCAACGTCTTGAAGTTGCCATTTTCTGGCCAAGCCAGTCGGTAGGATGGGACTGTGGAGGGAAGCCTCTGTTCTGCAGGCCCAGGAGATTTTGTGCACATGTTGAGCAAAGCCTTCAGTTCTGATCGGAAGCTGTCGTTGAGCCAGCAGTAGATGAAGGGATTGTAGCAGGTGCTGCTCATGGCAAACCAGTGAAAGGCAAAGTACACAGCATTGTTGGTGTGGATGGTCTGGCTGGACAGGAGGACAACGTAGCAATTTAAGGGAAACCAGCAGACTGCAAAGAGGATGACAACAAGCATCAGCATCTTTATGGTCTTCTTATTCTTTTTGCGAAGAGCAACGTACTGCTCAGTGGTGACATCCCCGATGGCATTGCGCAGCCAGAGTTTCTTGGCCACTGTCACATAGGCAGCAGAGATGATCAGAAGGGGCAGGACATAGAGCAAAATGAAGGTGGTTAAGTCGAGGTACTTCCAAAAGAGGTCAGCAGGCTCAGGGAAATCCGGCAGACACAGGCACCGAGTCACCTTCTCACTGCAAGTGGAGACATCAGATGGGGAATGAGTACGGCTGGGCACCACAGGAGATGCACGTCAGAAACAAGGGGGTAGGAGGGAGAGGGCTCCTGCCACAAAATCTGGAGGCAGACCCTTCGCTTGTGTCACAGCTCCGCTGTCCAAGGAATTGAGCCATGGAGTAGCTGTGAACAATGTGGTGATAATTGCTTGTGGGCATTCATGACCTTATGATAATTTCATGAATTTCATCAATTAGGAAATTTCAAGCTGCACAGAGGCAGGTTTTTATTCTCTGTCCTTTGACAAACAGAAGCACAATCCCTGCACACATTAAAGACCTTTCCCTCATTAAAGCACTTCCCAGATATCAAGGCTCATGACAGTGTTTTATGGAACAAACAGCTGAGGCAGATTTTTTACACTTCCTCATGGTTAAAGACTAGATTAAAACATGTTTTGTTTTAGGTTTTCCCCATTTCTGGTCTGCCCAAATAGGTCAGATTGGTACATTGTGTAAAATGCCAATGTGGAGAAAGGGTCCAGGCAGATTCTCTAACTTATTAGCCTATTTCAGGTGATTAGTATGGCAGAATAAAGATAAAATAATTAAAAATAGAAACAAGAACAAGATATCAGCCATTGCAATAGGAATCTGATTAAATTATAGACTAGATTCATAATTTACTGACGTCAATGCAAACTCAAGGCTTTAAGCAGAAGATATCAAAGTATGGCCACTGAGAGTCTGGCTTACAGGGAGGCTGCCAGGAAAGCAAAGCACATCCTTACCTGTATTCAAAGGTAAAGAGTTTTTGGTAGATAGCATGTGGCAGGGAAAAGCAAGTTGCCATGATCCAGATTACAGAGATGTAGATAACACCTTTTGCAGTAGATATGCGAGGTTTCAGAGGGTGCATTATAACCTGTGCAAAACAAACCAATGCCATTTCAGGAAACAATGACATCATTTTTTCATGTAAGCTTCCAGCCTTAAATCTATTACTTAGAGTGGAAATTTGGCATGCAAGCAGCACCATCTTCACCCAACTCCCATTGACTGTAAGCTGTACATGAAAGCCTCAATTTTTCTTCCATGGAAATGGGTGAAGTCAGATCCCAGTCCTAGCCTCTCATTTCAGTATTTGCACCTAGATGGGGAGAGTCTCAGACTCTTCAGTATCAGTGATGCAAAGAGCCATGGGTTTGCCATTTAACCAGACTTCCCTGGGATGCTCCTGACAGCCAGAGCATTTTCTGAAAACTTAGAAGCTTTCTAGCAGAAAACATCACCTGTACTGGTCTGTTTTGTGCAGTTGTTGGATGATTCCAAAGTGATAATGCCTGACTGTCCCTAGTTTTGAGCCCTTTATCAACAGCAAGCTACAGCTCTGCTTGTGACAAACACCAGTATGGTACAGTCAGCTCTCCAGTACAACAAGGGGTGAGACATCCCGGAGCTGTGGAAACCAACTGGGATGTCCCTGCATTCACAATGCTGTTCCTCCATGGCCCAGACAAACCAGTCCAGCAGAGGGCTGCCCACATGAATTCCCATCAGGATCTCAGACTTTCTCCTCATTTGATTGCTACTGGACTACCCACTGCAGAAAAGGTCCTGTTCCCCAGTTGAGAGTGATCTCAAGGTGATTGACACCTCCCATCTTCCTACCTTGCTGTGGGCTTGAAATAATTCTTTCCATCCAACAGCAAGAACTGTTCCCCTACCCCGTCAGCTCCTCATGCATCTTACATTAATCTGGGAGCTGAGAAGGAAAGGACATGGGGTCACCCTTTCTCATTTTAATTATGTTCCCCCAACCTTCCTAGCTGCCTGCTTCAGAGAGCTCTCACCTGGTGCCTGTCCACGGCAATGGCTGTGAGGGTCAAGGCAGAGACATGGAGGGAGCAGTACTGTGCAAACCTACTGACGTGACACATCCCCTTCCCGAATACCCAGGTACTGTTCACAAAACGAGCCTAAAACCAGAATACGATTAGTTTTGTGCACCCCCACACACCTCCACATACTTATGGATATCTGAGAGAACTCTGACACGTAATTCCTTGTGTTATGTAAAAGATATTTTTAAAATAGCAGATTCTTTGTATAAATGTGTAATTTCTGGCTTCTGAACCCTGAAAAAAGGTAGGTGGCCCAGCAATATCCTCTAGGACAATACAGCAGGGCAGTGCCAAAAATGTTTCTTCTGTTTTATTCACTGTGTGTCCTTCTGCAGTCAATACATTTTTTTCCCCTTAAGCCCTTCTTACAGGATAGGGCTGACCTGTAAGCCTTATCTTACTTGAAAGAAAATAACAGCTTTTCAACACAGCTTCTAAAATGATGATCAGCCTCATGTTTCAGAGATTCATAGTATTACCTTGGAAATATTTCAGAGAAGGAGAAAAAAAGAAGACTAAATACTACAAAGTACTAAGTAGCCACTGTGAGGTTATTAAAGTGCTATCAGGGACACTTCTTACAAATGGATAATTTCTGATCTTCAGCTAGGTAATACGAATTAGGAAGAAAAAGACATGTGGAGTTTTCCAAATATAACTCCAGTCACTGTAAGCTGGACTGGACAGGTATCTGCAGGACATTCACACACTGCCTATAGAGATACAAAGAAGAAAAGGCCACCAAAGTAACTGCGATGCCTTTTATGGCATCTCTGCCCTCATCTTACCAGTGTAAAAGGTGTGTTGAGAAGCGTGATCATGATGTCAGCTACGGCCAGGTTCACAATGAACAAGCTGGTGACGGAGTGCATGCGCTTGGTCTTGATGACAACATGACAGACCAGGACGTTGCCAAAGAGGGAGAAGATGATGATGAAGGAGTACGCCACGACGAGCAGGGCTTTCACTGTGACACTTTGCGACTCTGCTCCATACCGACTCCTGCCCACGAAACTCTGCCAGTCGGCCAGGCTGTCATTATCCCAGGAGAAGAAATCTGAGATGTTCGGGATTCTAAAAGGCTCCTCCAGACTCCCATTGAGAGGCAACTTTCCTGGGGCTGCAAAGGCATTTACCAAGTCAGGGAGGAAGAGCCAGACAAAACAGGACATGTCTGAAACACCACTCTGCTCTCCCAGTTCGGAAATAGCTCATCTGCAAGAAAGCAGAGCTGATGCTGTGGGTGGGGAGAGTTGTCCTCCCCTTGCACAGCCCAGGCGCGCTCGGGGGCTGCAAACACAGCACACAAGCGGCAGAAGCGGGCAGACACTGCTGCTTCCCGTAGCGTGCTCCTCTCCCGCTCGCCTCACTGCTACTTTTACTCCTCTAGCCAGCTTTATACCCGCAGGCGAGCTGAAAGCCAGGATCTTCTGCAGCTATTGGGCTGCATGACATTATTTCTGCTGTGACGTGCTGTTTTTCCATGCAGTCACGCTCCCCCGGGCGCTACTCCAAGATTAGTACATCTATGAGAGAGCCAAATCAATCTCTCCAGTCTCAGCATCCTTTTTCTCTACCAGCAGCCCAGCTCATGGAGATTCTGTGCTGTTTATAAACCAGCAGCCTGTGTGGCAGCTCTGCTCTCTTCCAGGACATAGTTCAAATTTAAGCTGAGTTTTAAAGGTCTGGCAGGGAAATTTCAGGCTACTTCACAGCATGACACTTGCTAACTAGCATAGAACAGGAGGTAATGAGATGAACTGTGAATAACAAGCTGGCTTACTGTACTTACAGTATTTTTCCAAAGACCTTTTTTCCCCTCAGAGAGACAGAGAAATACTTAAGCTTTCCCTTGGCAGAGATTTCCCCTTGGCCAAGGTAATAAAAAGTTTTATGTGAAACTGTTCTTTCTAAGGTTTGTAGAAATACAGAGGTAGTTACAAAGAGGAGATTATATGGGACAGAGGATGTCCCAGCCCAGTGAGTCCAGTATCCACAGCAACAAGCAGCTGTAGGCTGGACCCAAGCACCGGTGAGAGGGCAGCATGCATGCTCCCTGTACCTTCCCCAAAAATCATACTAGGAAATTTAAAATCAGTAGCAGGGGACCAAGAGCCACAAATCCTACACAGTGCAGAAAGACATGTCCCTCCACAAGTACACATGCAAGGGGCTGTCCATCTGCTGGGGACAGATCTGTTTGGGTGGTGTCAACTAACCCTGGCCAGAGGAGGTTTTGTACAGAAAAGGCTTTATTTAATGATCAATTAAAACACCATTATATGAAAAGCTTACGTTATAAGCTGGTCACTCATTAGTGAAAAATAGCACTTCCAGAAGATGCTTGTGACTCCCTCAGTGAACCACTCAGGCTGTTTTATCCTCACTGCTGCTAAGGGGTTGAACACAGTTGGACAAGCAGCATGGCCAGCCCACAGCACTCCCCTACAAACCTCTGCCAGCATCAATTTCTTCTACAAAACTGTCCAATTCAAGCTCTTTTGGCAGCTTGTCTATCTCAGAGAAAGCTTTCCAGTGAACCTGCTGGAGCTGCTAAGGTGGAAGTTGCCTGTAACCATTCAGAAAGAATCACAGAAAGGTTTGTGCTGGAAGGGACTTTAAAGCTCATCCAGTCCAACTCCCTGCCATGGGCAGGGACACCTCCCACCAGACCAGGTGACCCAAAGCCCTGTCCAATCTGGCCTTGAACACTTCTAGGGAGGGGGCATCCACAGCTTCTCTAGGCAATCTGTGCCAGTACCTCACTACTCTCAGAGTAAAGAAATATTTCCTATGAAATCTGCCCAGCTCAGAAACACTTGGCCAGCGAGGATACCCCTTGATCTGATGCCATCAGGAAAACAGAATCTCACAAGGTAACATAAAAGGCCCAGGGAAATGGCAGAAAATGGGACAGGGCAGTGTTTCAGTGTGGATTTGAGATGAGAACAGAGCGGTTGGTGGCATATGTCCCCTTTCTTGCTGAGTTGCTCTAGCAGCTCCCAAGTCTCCCTCCCTTTCAGTGCTGTTGGCCAATGCTTAAGGGTATTCTGTCTTCTGACACTCAAACTGCAGCTCTTGTTCTTCCACATCAGATTCTGCTCCTCTGTACTATAATCCATAATCCAGCAAAAATTATTAGTAGTTTTCCCATTTTCTCCTCTTGATTTAGTTCTGCCTTTCTAGCAGGGTACCCTTGCATGCGTAGCCAGAGCTGCTGTTGCATTTGAAGATCAGGTGCTTCCAGGAGAGCAGGAGGCCTTCTCCTCATCGCTTCCACCAGGATACTGCAGGGAAGATGGGCATCTCCTCCCACACAGCTCAAGTCCACCCTCCACTGAGCTGGACTCGGTGATCCAAAGGGGCGTTCCCACCACACACCAGGCAGGCCCACCTGAAATACCCACAAAGGGTGGTGGAAAAGGTCTAGCAGAAGCTCCCTGGGCCATGTTGCTGCCCCCATTACCTGTGCGCTCTTCTGGTTTAGTTTGTGATTAAACACACTCCAGTACAAACTGTCCAAACAGCTCACCCATGTGTGGTTGTTACCAGAGAACGGGCTGTAGTAAATTTGTCAGCTTGGTACCTGCTCCACCATCCCCAGCACTGACAGCAAAGGAAGCAGCTGCACAGGGATGTCGGGATTTGGTATGCTGTACCTGGTTTTTGGAAAAGGTATCTGTGAAATGATGTAATTTATAAAATGGAAAGTATTTAGAAAATGTTTGAAATAAGGCTATACAGCTCATGAATTCAGGTAATCAAAAAAAGTAATCAAAAACATTTGTGCACTAACACTCTTAATAAAATTATAATAAATTAGAAAACAAGTCTGATAAAAAAAAAGGTTTTAAGAAGAATATAAAAAAAAATCACCCAGACACTAAAAATGCAATTTGGAAGCATTCAAAAAGATGAATAATGCCTTTTTTTCTTTTTAAATACACAGCAGAGTGTTCATTCTCCTCTCCTCTGCCCTCACCATTTCCCTAAAAACAATCTTTCTTTCACTACTGTGGCCTTGTTGAATTTCTGAGCTTTCCTGGGACAGGTGGACTGGAAGTTACATGAGCGAGAAGTGACTTTTTGAAAACTATCCAGTGTGATCTCAGAGAAGTAACATTGATTTTATGAGCATCTTACCTCGCCCGTATAACAAATCACAGTAACGATTACAAGTATCTGCTTATAGTACAGTCTTTCCACGCACACCAGGTTACATTTCCCCCCCTCAAGGGAAGGATGTAATCTTTATCTTCTATACAATACAATTTGAGAACTGCTGCAGTTTAACACTATAAACTAAGCCACTGTGAATTTGACAGCTGACTGAAAAAAAATAGTGAAAACCATAGAAAGAACATTTATGTAATTCTTATTAATCCTATACACTTCACTAAAATCTTTGCCTAGGATGTGCCTGTAACACTAAAAGGCAGTTCCCTTAAGATCTTAATGAAACAAACTAGGTGATTTTGAAGCCTAACAAAACAGGTTTTATTTGTTGTGGTGGGTCAACCTTGGAGGGTTTCCAGGTGCCCACCAAGCTGCTCCCTCCCCATCCTCAGCAGGACAGTAGGAGAAAATAAGATGAAAAACTTGTAGGTCAAGATAAAGGCAATTTAATGGGTTGGAAAACAAATGCCTTCATCACAAATGCCATTTCCACCCCTCAACTTTCTCTCAACTTTTACTGCTGAGCATAATGTCATACAGTAAGGAGTATCTCTGTGGTCAGCAGGGGTCAGTCATTCTGGCTGTGTCCCCCTCAGTCACTTGACCACTCCCAGCCCACTGGCCTTTGCAGGGGAGACAGCACTGGTGATGTGGAGCACTGCTCTGCAGTAGCCAAAACACTGGTGTGTCATCAACATCCTTCTAGCTACAAATGCAGAGGCTGCTATAGGGAAAGTTAACTCCATCTCAGCCTGACCCCCTACAAGCAGAGAGCAACATAAAGCAGCAGAGTGTTTAAAAAATTTCAACCCCTCCTATTCCATGCAGTCCACACAACTGACATTCACAATTTACTTAACAGAAATAGTTTATTTAAAAAAAATACCTAAACCCTCATCTTGAGGAGTATTCACAGCAGCTTTTTAATTGTACAGATAACATTATAGCTTTGACAGCCCTTAATGAAATGAAAGAGCCAGACTACCAAATTATATCTTAAGCGATCACACAGCTTTGTAAGTTGCTACTAAGCTCTATACTAGAAATTCGCAGATCTTGATCATTCTTATGGAAGTCGTCAGGAAGCTCAAGCCTCATTTAGGTTCCCTGCTACCACACATATGTAGGTAAAGTAACAACAGTCGTGTTCAGGAAGAGCCAGAGAAACACAACTGCCCAATCCCATCTCTTTGAAGACAAAGTGAAAATGCAAAGGCATGGCTGCTGTTACTCAACGTATTTGGTGCTTCTCTGACATACTGGGGCATCAGCTGATGAACTCTTCAGGCCTTTTCCTTGATTAGCTCTCAGGCTTTAGAACAGCACTTTTTGGGGAGTGGGGTGTACAGAGGTGGAAAGGGGGAAGGAGAAATAGGTCTAGGTCTTGGTTTCCTCAACAGAAGGAGTGGTTCAGTTCCCCCACTGTGAATATCATGCTATAAAAGCCTTATTTGGAGAATATTTGGAAAATAGTGATGACATTTTAGGAGGGTCACTGAAGCAGCCGGCTGAGGAAATAGGTACCTGAAAAATATCAACTAAGAAAAAGGTAAGAGGTGACTGCCCATTACTGGCTCCATTGCTTTACTCTTCAAGCAGCATTCCTGGTGAAGCTGTCAGGTTCTAGCCCTTACATCTCATTTACAAGGTAAAAGTTGACAATGCAACTCAATCTGAAGCCTTTGGCGCTTCTTGAATTACAGAGCTGAATTCGTTCCCATATACTATGACATTTAATAACAGTGCAACAGTGGGCTTAGTTCTCTTAGTAAAGTTGAAGTATTAGAACATTTTTCAGCTTCAACACTGAAAACCATATTTTTGGGTCAAACTATTATTCTTCAGTTTTCAACTGTATCCATAGAAAACCGCAAGTACAAGTTTCATTACACTGACTGAGTCTGTGTCTATATCCATACTTACATACTACTATGAATTTACTCCTCTGCAAAATTCAAGGCCAAGAGATACAGTTTTCCCTAAAAGATATGATTGTTATTTAGATTATAAGCCCAGAAAGAAAGCAGGCTTCAGATAGCACTTCAGGATATTAGACACTCTAGTCTAATGCATCAAGTAATGAACACCCAAGTTATACCAAATTTGGTGCCTCTGAAAACAAACCCAAGCCAAAGCTAAAAGTGAAAACTGAAGACAAGTCATCATTTACAAAGAAATGTCATATAGAGAATGCCCTGAAAACTGCGTTTCGTTTTCTTCACTAACTTTCACGTTTCTCTCTTGTATAGTGAGCCAGAAATCACTTAGTTCTTCTTGATGTTGCAGTGCTTTTGAATGGATCAAATTCATCCTGTAATTTGTAAACAGATACATATTACTAGAACTAGCATGCATTCTGAATCATAGAAGTAGTGTCACCTTTAGAAGAAACTAAAAAGTCTGGTCACATTATTCCATGTTTTCTGACAGACCTGTTTTTGTTGGTTTTGATATGAAAGAGATTATCCATTGATTTAAAAGTTCAGATCAGGAATACGCAGAGACTACAAACTGAGTTTAAGTCAATATGACCAGAACAGCTACTCTGAAACAAGAAACAATCTATATTTCAGGTGTGACCTAGGAAAATGTTATTATGAGCAGCATGTACCTCAATAAAGTTACGTATACATACATATATATATATATAAAAGCATGGAGCAATCTGGTCTGGTGGGAGGTGTCCCTGTCCATGGCGGGGGGGGTTCAACTGTATGATCTTTGAGGTCCCTTCCAACCCAAACCATTCTATGATTCTGTGATATCACCCATAATTAACTAAGATTTGCATGAAATAAAAAATACTGTCTCTTTTTGCATGTTCAAGCAAACATGTAGTTTTGTATTTCAGAAGAAGAGAGAGCATAGTGGAGAAAAGGGACAAGAATTTAATATCTTCTCTGAAGTGGCCTGCATTTGGCATTACTAAGCCTGGGATCTTGGTCACACATGACAGTCTGCTCATCTGTGAAAACAAATTGCACAGTGCTTGCCAGTATAATGTGTATTGAATTCAGTGTCAAACTGAATAAAATTCTACTTGTTTAATTGTGGAAGAAATAATTTCTTAGCAGTTCAGATATATGCTGCAAGAACAGACATCTTAAACTCTAAGATAGCATTTTATTTTGTCTGTGTGTGTATTTACATAATTCGCAACAGTAAAACAATAAAGTACCCTGAAAAAAAGCTCTTTTAAAATGCAAAAAAATAAAACTCTTCCTTTTTGCAGGAGTAAAATACATAATGAATGAAAGGATGTAGCCAAGCACTAGAAGAGATTACAATTACTTTCTTCTCCAGGCAAAATAACCTATTCCGCACATTTCAGAAATAAAAATTAACTGATTAGGAATTGAAGCGAAAAAGGACTGGATATTTTCCTCATGTCCCTTCTAGTCTTATTTTTGATGATTATATATATATATATATTTTCTAATTAAGGCTGGTTGCAATAATCTAGCCCTGTTAGTAGGAAAAAAAAATCTAAAAAAATAATTTACTCTGAAAAACTTTACTCAAATAACTGCAAAACAGTAAGCTATAGAAATTTATGTGAAAGAGGAGAAAGACCACTATATACCATACCTCATCTGATTCAAACTCAACTCCTCTAAGTGTTTGGCTTTGTGAGCCTCTTTTACTAAGTGAAGATGTAGTTGACAACCTTGAAACACACAAAGAGGGGAAAAAAAAAAGGCATCAGTGTGCTCTCAATTACCAGACATTCCAATAGCTTTCCCTTCAGTTTAGATTTGGACCAGCAACGGACAGATTAATGACAAATAGAAATAACAGTAAGCAGAACAATTCAAATTCTCAAGCTGACATATTAATTCTAAAACTCTGACCTAGCTTATCTCTATCAGTAGACCCATTTATTGCTGTAGAAAGATCATCCACATTGATAGGTAAAAATTAATATAAATTCTCTAAATAGTGTTATGACTTCCTTAAAAATCTGCTTTTTCAGGTAGTGAATGAGATCCCCAGACTCTGCTGATTGCCAATCAGAAATAAGGCAGTCAGGGTGGCATTCATGAAGTAAACATACTGACCTTTGATTTACTTTGGAAAAAGGAACAATAGAAACGTCTTCTAGATCAGAGTCATCATCTATAATATCCTGAAAAAATGATATAATTTATAAAGATTTTTTCACAGAATTTATTCTTACAGAGATGTAGTGCATAATACTACAGTACTATAGCACAGAACCTTTTTTTTCCAATTGTATACTTTCCTAGCTATAATATACACTTGACAGGGCTTCAGGCTAGAACTCTACAATGTGCAAACACAGCACAAGTTTTGCTCTTCAGATCTTTCACCCTGCAGAAACCCACAAAATCTTCATGTATTTAGACTGTATCTTAGACCATGGTCACGAATAAAACATAAGTCTTTTTTGTTTCCTCAGACAGACCCCATACCAAAAAAGAGTACAAAAGATCTACAAACTAACATGCAGAAACTTACTGCTGGAACCAATAGCTTGGGAGCATCTGCTGATTTAAGCTAAAGTTTTGACCATATCTTTATTTTTCAAATCAGAAGAAAGCAAAAGGCAGTGTAACTTCATTCACACAAGATGCTTCTTACCTCAGAGTAAGATTTAGACGAATTCAAAGAAGACTCTGGTTTCAAAGACCTGAAGGCTAGAATAAAACAGAATTTTAAAGTGTTCACACAATAAAATGAAAACAACGTTTTATCATTCTTCTTACTGAAGACCTGCTTAACACACATTTCCTCTGCAAAATACCCTGTAAAAAACCCAAGCAAAATCTCTACAGTCTGACAACCCAGAGATCTAACCCTCTGTGCAGCAGCCAGTGCTTCCCAGTCTGGCTGCAAAACCTTCAGTAACTTTGGTTAAGAGGAAGAGAGAAATACTACTATAATTGGTATTCTTGTATGTCTAACAGTTCAGACATTAACACATCTGCTAAAATTGATTTCTCTGCAGTATTTCAGGTCATTTGCTGAGCAATTTAAAATTTAGATAATTTGCAGATTAATTTAAAACTCGCTCTACCTTTGGGTATTTTGTGTGGGATGCATGTAGCAGTATTTTTTTGAGCAGCACTTTTTGCTTTAATACTTGGATTACCTATGCTGTTTCCTCAGAGCCTGTCTTCTGTAGCAAGGAAAGGCTAATCTCACATATGCAGCTTAAATCACAGGTAAGTTTCTCTTCCCTAGTACAAACCGGTGTTTCCAAAACTTGCTGTAATATAAGAGTAAACTGATTTATAGTAAAGCTTATTAACTTGTAAATGACAATTAAGGCGCTTCATCATTAAATAAACACCTGCATTACAATTTGAACGAGCAGATTAGAGTAATGGAGAGATCAAAGGCCTACCATCCATGATGGACTTATTCTTGGAAGGCACAGATGCAGGCCTGTAGGTTCTGCTGCTAGTAGCTGACTCTTGGCTAGTGCTTCCTGTAGGGATAATAAACAATATGCAAATCTGTTCAGTGGTTATTTTTAAGTCCTTTAGTCCATCAGGACTGACTGGGAAGTTACTTAAAACTCTACATTCCTCTCTACTCTTTCACTTTCTTCCTTGAATCAAACCCCTCTTTACACGCAGAAGAACTGCTCTGGGTGAAGCATTCAAAGCTCCACAGCCACAGCTTCTTGACACACATGGCCCTGCTGTGATGGGATCACAGCAGTGTTGGAGCACGTGCTCACAGGATTAGTTCAAGGGCACTAATCAAATCAGTCCTTAGATGACTGCCTTTGTTTCAGCTTATCCTGCTCTTAGACCTCTGAGCATATTACTGAGACAACTCAAGGGAATATATTACTGCAAAACCCCATATTTTCTTTTTTTAATTATATAGAATGGAAGTATATATATAATGGAAATACCACTACCATTGTGAAGTGTGCAATCACACATATCTGAGAAGCTATTTAATTAATTTTGCTTAGGACACACCACCCATTTTCTCAGCCACTAGAAACAAGGAAGTCTCTTGTAAACTGCATTAGGACAATCTACTTTCTCTCTTTACTGATCAAATGCACTGCCATTAGCAGTAACAAAAGTTTATCCATGCACTTCATAGCACAAACCTTCCCAATATAGTATCTTTTAAGAGTCTACTGTTTCCATAGCTGAGAAGCAAGATATTTTTCTTATAATCAGCCTGTGAAAAAGTCACAACTTAAGCCTTATAAGGCAGTCAACTGTATACAGTATGATACCAAAAGCATTTGTGAAGAGTTGGATTTTTTTCCAGTAGGAGTCTTTAAGCAACAAATTTACACTTGACAGAAGCATCAGAAGAGACTCCCCTTTTAAAGAAAAAAAAGTCAGTAACTGCAATAGAAAGGATGCAAAGTTTTTCTTACCTCTTCCCCTTCGAGATGAACCTCTTGCTGTCGGATTTTGTCCTCTTGCACCTCTTGCCCTACCTCTTGCCCGACCCCTTCCACGGCTCAGTGTTGCAGGAAGGCCATCATCTGAATCACCAGTGCCTTTCATCCCCATATCCATGAGTTCCTCATCACTGGAGGCTGCGACAAGAACTGCATCCTCAGATCTGTGGGCTCTAGCCCTGGTCATTGCCTGAAATGGAACAGTAAGTGCTGTAGGAAAAGAATGGTGAAATGCACCATTGTTAAAGCCTAGTTGTGATATATAGTTCTACACCATTGAGGCTTAGAGATCCAAATCCACAGTGTTATAGAAGGGAAGGAACTCTGTCAAAAAGTAAGGACAGTATTTAGTCCATTTAATTTAGATGTGTACAAATAAAGTAGCTCGCTAAGCTCTGATAACAGAATGGAGCTAGTTAACACGATATTGTCAGTGGAGTTTGGTGAACAGTTCAGGTCATCCTGTGTCAGCTGTGTACATCTGCTCAGAGGAAGCACCCTCTGGGCTCCATTGACTTGACCTTCACTGAAGATAGTGGGTGCTTAAGACAAATAGTTCACATGAAGATACCTTGGAGTAGAAGAACCGAAACTCACCCCAGGTGTCCCTTTTCTCAAAATTTAATTTCAGTTTCACACAGCTTGTGAAAACAAAGAAGCACCAATGCTGTCAGCGGTTGGCAATTCTCTTTGGAAAGACCTATGCAATCTAGATATGAACCTCTGGGAAATCTAAGACTCTAAGATTGCTGATCAGCACAATAGTACCTAAAGGTTTACCAATAATAAGAGTTTGTTGCAGTAGTATCACTCAGTACAGCCCATTCACATGTCCACTGGTGATGGTATCACAAATAGTTTAAGCGGACAGATCTCTGAAGGTCACCGGTCACCTGCCTGGTCTAATCCCAGTTCAAAGTAAGAACAACTGAACGTTCAGGTTCACAAATTTGCACAAGAAAAGAGATCTCAAAAGCCAAATCAAGCAGTAGCTTAGGCACATATGATATGAAGAAAGATTTAAAGACTTACTAATCTTCCCTAGGCAGACAGGCACTTTTTGGCAAGGCCAATACTGAAGTATTGCTAAGTGACTTCATTCATGTGCACATGTCACCATTCCATTCTTCAGCCTATGTTCAAAATTCAAAGAAGTTACCTCACGAACTTCCTCATCCTCTTCTTCAGTATTCTTTTTTCTACTCTCCCTGAATTTTCGCACCTGAAAAAAAAAGTTCCCATCAGAATAACAGTTTATTTCATATAGTAATCAAAGCACAGCAAGTGAGAAGTCTTGATCACTGAATTATTAAGTCAGGCTCACGTAAAAGGCAAAGAAGAGCGCAAGAATAACTGAACAGTTTGTTTAGAGCCTTTTCATGCTGTCCAACAGTTTAAGAATCTCACATTCTATTAATAAGTAGAGCTACATCACTGGGAGAAAAAAGCTTGGGACATGATGAAAAGTAGGAGATACTATGTTCAAGAGACAGAAAGTATGCGTAATTTAACAATAAAGGACAGTGAAATACGAGTAACTGGAAAAGAAGGGGCAGAGATGAAGAAGCAAGATAAAACATATTGATATTGAGAAGAGACAAATGTTGCAATATATGTATAACTAAGAAAGCTACACTTGTCAAGTATTGAAAAAGATATGATGGGTGAGAAGGAAAGAAAATATTAGTCTAAAAGACAAACAAAAAAACCCCAAAAATGTCAAAGAAAGCTTACAGGTAGATTGTTTATGGTCTCGTTCAACCTCTCATGAATTAAAACAACCAGCAACAACTTATCTGTCTTGATCTCTCCCCTAAGGAATTAACATTTACAGAATATTACCTCCTCGTCTATTTTTTCTTCCTCTGCGTCAGTGCGACGCTCCTTAAGAAACCTCTGTGTTTTTTCTAGTTGAAATTTCACCAGCTCTTCTATGGCATCTTTTTCTTCTTTGTCCACAAACTCCTGCACTGCTTCTCCCATTCCTCTTTCAGTCAGAAGTGAAAGCTGTACTTTCTTTATAATTGGCAAAAACATTTTGTTAAGCATCTGCCATCAAACTGTTGTTTCAGATAAACACTACATGAGGTTGGTTCCAAAAACAGTAACATGCACTGAAGATTTCAATCAGAGAAAAGCACAACAAGCAAACATGTTACTCAATATAACTATATTACAACCCTCTTGCTACTTCCATGTTGCACCTACTTAACAGAGTATTTTTCATACTTTTCAAAGAAAAAAGTTTCCTAAACATCAAAGAAACTACAGTGCTAGTCATAACTAAAATAATAAATAATAAAATAACTTGTCTGAAATGTAATGCTGAGAGAGGCAAGAAGGTAAACTGTATTCTTCCCTAGTTCCTCTACCCGGTTTTTAACTAAAGTTAAGATCAACTTGCAGAGACATAAAAATACTATTAAAAGCAGGCCCTAAATTATTACATATGCTAAATTACTTCGTTTTACTGTAAAATTCTAACTTTAGAAAGTAGCAGTTGTAGAGCAGGGCAAATTATTATTATGAAGCATTAAGAGCTGCTAAGCAGAAGTCTACTCTATTGAAATGCCATTCTGTAAATACCAACAGTTCTCACATGTACATCAAGCAGGATGATATTCATCAAGATACTATGCATTAAGGTATTACTACAGACACTAATTAGTAAAACTAGCAGATGCTACTGGTGGTGTTTCGCAGCCATTTTTTTCTCTATCCTCCTCAATACAGTAAGAAAAGATATTCTGAGAATGAAACTGCCATATGGAGAGCCATGTTTAAATATCAGTTTCTTTTCTCTGTAAACTACAGCACAAAAAATATCTTAGTAATATGCATTATATATGCTTATTGTTTTTTAATCCTTTCAGGTGTCCTTTAGGAATTGTTTTGAGGGTTCTATCAGAAGCATAAAACCTCCCCTGGAATAATGCTGCACTTGAGAATAAATTTTACAGCTATTATAAAATAATTTACCATTGAGATCAAGCATTTGGGCATCTGACTCACTGATTATTTTTTACTTCCGAGACGTTATTGCCCTGGTGCTGGGAAAAGGAAATAAATCTGGTTTAATGAATGGGTAGGGAGAAAGCAAACTACTGGGGGACTCTCTTCCTTCTCCCTTCTCTGCTTTAAATATAAGGTGGAATAGCACTATGTCTGAGAATACAAATATACTGCAAAGTAACAAGTTACTCAAAGTCAGCTGGTAATAGTAAATGGTACAGTCTCACATTGACCCTACAGTATATTACAGCAGCTTTTCATTCAGAGCACACTGCCTCACATTTTCCTCTTGCAAGAATGAGACACACCATTTAGTACAGGGCAGACTGCAAATCCACATAAAGAGTTATCATAATGTTCTCAACCCAGCATGTGTTCACACACTCTATACAAAAATTATTTGTTAATCAAAGACATATACTTTATAGAGGAATTCTCCTAGTTATACAGGAAATAAAGTAACTTCTTGGTCAATGTCAGGGTCTTTTCAGGGCACGCTACTTCCATTAAGAATTCAAAAAAAGATATAAAGATTCTATTCCATTAAAAAAAAATAATCATAAAAAGTAAAAAGATACCTTCTCTGCTGTCTGAAAATACTGCTTTACAAGGTCTTCCACCCTCAGTGTCATTCCCTCAGAAGTAGGTCTGCTGACCAGTTTTCCAAAATTAAGATCACTGTCTGTAACAGAAAAGCACAGTGGCACTGTCACCCACATTTGCAGCTTTTAATTATTATCATCCCATTGACAGTAATAGGAAAAAAGATTAATATAAGGCCTGTTAAGAATTGTTGTCCCCTTTATATGTAATGGTTTTTTTGTTCTAACTGTGAAGTCTATTGTCTGAGAACACAGGTAAACATAACAGATCCAATAATTATACAAGACAATTCAACCTCTAGCAGATACAAAGCATTCTTCTAACTACCAAATGTCTGGAATTATAAATTGAATGCTATGTACTAAACATTACTGTAATTGAACTCTTAGAAGATCACAAATGGAAGAAAATCCAAGGAACTATCAAACCACAAGGGTTTTTTTAATAAGTAATTCTGTTACTAGAGAAGAAATTTTCCTGTAAAACACATTCAGCAGAAAATGTTCATAGCTCATTAAGGCTGCGCCCCAATCTCAGGCAGCAAGGTAGGAATGACAGAAGAATGAAAGGGATAATCAACTGAGGTTACCATATACCATGTAAAGTAATACAAAGTGACTACAGGCTGTTCCTAGTCATGTGCCACACGCAAGCACAAAACATTGGTTTGTTGGCCTTGATATATAAGCAGCTATGACAAAAGAAACAGTAACAGCTTCTGAACTCACAAAGTCTTTACACCACCTGTGCTCAGCCACAGCATTATGTGCACATGGACTGAAAATTTTGACTACTTTATTAGCCACCTCCCTTGTATTAGAGGACATCTAATAAAGTAATGCAAACAACCACAGCGTTCTTTTTACATTCCCTTCCCAAAGCTGAGATGAACATTAAGTAGGAAAATTAAAATATCTTGCTGAAACAAGCAAGAGATGTAGTAGCTATCTTGTATTCCGAAAATGTTAATAAGATTGTGCAACTATTCAAAAAACAAACAAAGCAAAGTAAAACAGGATCAATACAGCATAATTAAAAAAACAACTCACTAAAAGCAATCTTTATTCATGAAACATGATGTTTTGAACTTTGCAGAACTGACCATGTAAAACCTGTCAATGGTATTCGAGTACTTACACTAATGTGAAATATTAACAGTTCTCTAGCACAGTATGTTCTTGTGCAAGCTGCATCTTCATTAGTGACTATTACAAATCCATTATTTGGTCAACATCTATTAACCATTTATTAAAAATTCTAGGCACAATGAGAAATGCTACAATAGTAACAGCTATTATTTGTTTTGCACAAATGCTTGAATAGAGACATACCTGGAACAGACTAAAAAGCCAAGAGCACCTCATACACATGATTAATTAGGGAAAACAAAATGCTGTTGTACATTTGGACCTTTTTAAAAAATATACAAACATCTCTCAAGCCCATCCCCTCCATTAGTATTTTAGTTATGAACAAATTAATTATTACAGCAATAAAATTTAATTTAAAAGAAAAAAAAGGGAAAAAGCACAACAGCCATCTCTTTTCCTGCAGAGTCCTCAGAACAAACCATCTTATTCTGAGAAGTCCCAGGAGTGAGATGTTTAATGTCTATCATGGTAATTATGAATCATGGGAGTAACTCAGTCCAGTATGGGGCTATATGTATTACTATAAGCAATTCAGCAAGGTTTGAGGCAAAGAAAAAGGAATTATTTATGTGAAACTGTCAGAAAATGCTGTGCTGAATATCAATTTTAGACAAACCCAGAAATAGTACCGAATTACTTATGCAATATTTACACTTAAATGAGACATCTTTACACCTCCTATAACACATCAGATGGTAGATACCAAGCCTTTGCAAGCACTGGGTAACAAAACAAAGGATGAAGAATGAAAACCAAGGCAAGCCAATGGTTCCTTCCTTCATAATTACCATTTTTTTCTTTTTGTTCACGATGTCTGAAGAAGTGTATAATATCTTTTGGGTTAGCCACCCTATCCATGTACTTCTGGCTAAAACGATGAACACTGAATGGTTCAAAGCCACCTGTATAATCAACCTGAGATGAAAGGAAAAATTTGAATATGAAACAAACAGAAATAGAGAAGCCACACAAATCAAGATGAGTTCGTTACTCTTCAAAGGACAAATTGAAGTAAAAAATAAATCAACCTAAAATTAATGCTTTACCATACTATACAGAGCACTTAGTAGATAATAATAGGTAATAACAGCCTAGATTCATAACTTGCTCCATTTACTAGTTTTAAGGAAAGTTTCCATAAATTATTCCATAAATTAAAACAAACATAGGATACTATGACTTAAGAAAAACTTCTCTATAAATAGCCACTTTCCATCTCCTTAATCAGGCCAGCAATGAAATACACTTATAACCAATTTCATCCTTTACCATGGTTATACCATATCATGGTATGAAGATGCACCTGTACACAGTAAGAAATTTTATATATTATGTGTTTATACATGCTTTGAAACTTTTCACAAAGAACTTTCAAAACAGAGCAATCCAAACTGAACAATTCCTACTCGTAATCTTATGAGAGGCTTCTCTGGCTGGCGTGGATTTCCCAAGCGTTCTCTTTCTACGTTGTCCAGCATCATTTCAACCTGTGAAGCAGAATCAGAAATTCAGTTCCACTTTGTTCTCTTACAGATGCTTGAACCCTTCAAGTATAACTTAAAATACATTTAGCTGCAGGGGAAAGTTATAAAAATGAATAATTATAGGACATGCTCTCATTCCTGAACACATATATGCACCTATATCCAGCCAAAAGCCTTAAGAATGAATGAGAAAAAAGTCACAATGAAAGGCTTATCTTTCAGATACAGCGTAGTCCAGCAGTATCGACATCACTGACTCAAACTATTTCACTTTATAGCCATCATCCTTTGCTAAATTTCTAGTTCCAGGGATAAGCAGGAAGAGACTTATACAGACCTAAGAATCAAGAGCAATTAATAAACCTGCTTGGTTACTTTTGCTGCTTCACACTCCACAGCCCAGCTCTCAGGGTTTAGGTACATGTATTTATGCTGGTTTCAAAGTGTATATCCAATACTGCCCCAACTCTCAGGCAATAGCTTTTGTACAAAGATGATACGGAACCCATAAAGCAGTTCCAGCCTGCTTTAAGAGGTCATCTCAGTCAAGGAACCTAGAAGCCAAGGCTGCAGCGAATATCATGGAAGTAGCTTCCTATGGAAACACTGCCTAAATCCATTTCAAATAATATGGGGCAAACCACAAGATTTCTCATCTTCCAGCCTCAGAACCAAGTCACAGATCTCATTCCCTGTCCCTATACTGTTATCATTACAAATTACCTTTTCCATGCAGAATGCTTGTATTGCCTGAGTTACTTTAGGATTGTCAGGGTTAAAAAGATCTGGATGATCAGCTAGAACAATATCCTCCATGTGGAAAGTTCGCACTGTCTCTAGAGCAATCTTCTGCATTTTCATTTTTTTCCCTTTAACGTGCAGCAAACCTATGTGTCTAGAAGGAGAAAGGTAACTTACTAGAAGGTAAACAAGAGAACTACAATATAAAAATTTGTTTTAAATTCATATTTACTTTTCAGGGACAAAAGTTTAAAAGCTACAGAAAGTTTTCGGATCTGCACTTCAGGGTTGGCCCTGCCAAACCTCAGTTCTATTATATTTACACTGTGCTTGTTCTACACACAAGGATATGTACTCAGTTCCTTGTATTCCAATTTACCAGGGTGTTAACTCTTCTTAGACAAGTTCCATTTGCTTAAAATGTTAGGTTTAATCCTAAGTAAAGTAAAAGTTATTCTAGGCACTGATTCCATCTACTTCATTTGTTATGTCACACTCTGAAGTTAATCCACACTCTAACACAAGTGATTTCATACTTAATAGAAGATTTTTCCTTTCTCAATGCAACACACAAGAGACATAAGGTAAAGGATAAACAAGAACAAAAAGAAAAGTTTACGTACTTTTTCACAGCTTCTCCAGGGGACAGAGATGTCACCACTGAACTTCCTGGCTGAGAAACAAAAAAACCTTGCTGTTCATTTGGGGATGGAGATATTTTGCACTCATGTTCATGACCCCACACAACAAGATTAAGAAAGTCATCTAAAAACTGCTCTGGAATGTAGTTGGTGGCTCCCTGTTTGCTCCTGTTCAAGGAAAGAGAAAAATAATTGAAATGTGTACAGTCATGGATGGACAAGGGGGAAGTGAAGGAAAAACAGTGTGATTTGAAGTGATACAGAAACTCCAGCTAAAATATCTAACTTGCACTTCACATCCAGGAGTCTTCACACTTATTCCTTAAGCAACTGTTTAAAATGTTTGGTTAAACAAAAAGGACACCTACACAGCTCATTCTTTTCTGCTCCCCTCCTTTTATTTGGATCTCCCTTTTCTTCTTACTTGGCTTGCAAGGCTTTAGGGTTTTTTCCATATCATTGCTTTTATAGCACCTCATGGCCTTTTTTGTTTTCTTTTGTTTTGTTTTTTAATGGTGGAGTAAAAAACACCGAATTAAACAGACATGGGACAGCCACCCATGTGGGTGGTTGACAGCCACCCTTCTTCAGAAGATAGAGGAGACATAGGAGTGAGCTCCTTCAGCTTAATTGGCAGAGATCAGTACACAAGGTTATCTGAGCTATATTTGTTTACTTCTGCCTCACTGCTATTTGCACATAAGGATTGCTCTTATCCTGGAAAAATTATACAAACGGATTTGGAAAAGAACCTTGCCTGTTCCTACTAACACTGCTGGGAGAAGTGTGTAGGCAGAAAGAACACATGCTATCCATTCTCTAGTCAAGAGAAACTGTAAAGCATAGCAGTGCAAGTGAAGACACTGTACTTGTCAAATTATGATACAAACAAGCATAGAAAATGCAGTATGAAGTTTAATGCTCTTTCAGCTCTAACAAGCAGATTTAAGACTTAATCATACGTCTATTAGACTACAAACCCTCCACTGTCACCAACTATGAAAGTTTGGGAAGCCATTTCCAAGAATACTAATTCATTTATTTAAACTCTTTTCCTTTAAGATTCTTCTGTAAGATCAGCTATAAAACAATGCTTTTCTGGGGGGAGTGGGAGGAAAATCTTAAGAAATCAGCTACTCACAACAACAAACCAACTTGCATAGCTGGCTTTCTCACCTATCCAAGGCAGCTTAATGAAGTAACACAGTACTTGTTGTTTCAGTAAGTTGAAAAGTTACCATAATTCATGCGATACTGTTACCTATTTTGATGAATCACAAACAAGTTAAACCAACTATCTTCATCTTCCTTTGGTCTCAGCATGGTTACTTGTTTATTGACAAACATACGATACAACCTCTCATCTGGAATGGCTCCTGGAATAGACAAAACATTAAAACATTTTTGTGTGGTAAACCAACTCTTTATTTTATAGCATTTTTATTAGCAACTCTATTAAAAAGAGTAACTTTGTGGCTAGATCAGATCTTCATTTTCATGACCTAAGAAGTCTGAGGCATTATTAGGAATTTGAAGCAACTGAAGTATAAGTTGGTTAGTTTATTAAATAGACTGCAGAAAATAAAACATTCTAACACCTAATTTACCTTAAATAGCTGCTAAAAGCAGTTTTATTAACTGCATCTGGTTTGAGACTACTTGTCAGTTTTCTGTGCTGAACAACTGGCTATGGGCAAAATTAGCAATATTAGAAAAGATGTTTTGTTTCTTGTTGATGGAGTAAGAATATTTTGTTGTAAGGTGGACACTAAAAACAGATGCTGCTGAGTAGAGATGGGGAGTCTTAAACATACTTTAAAATTCTCTAGAAAACAAAAAAATAATCTGTGAATTCTGCAAAGTCTGTTTTCCCACACAGCAGGAAAAGGCCTACAGTACTCCCAAACAGTTTGTCTCTGATTATTTCCTTGATGTTTTTAACAAGGGGAAAAAAAACCCAAACACCCATACACAGTGTTTACTGTGCATTTCAATAAAATCCCAGAAGAAGTTTACATCTTTCATATATGAACAAATACTCTCTCAATCGGAGAGTCAAGAGGCACAATCTTGGCACAAGCTCAAAGAAACATTTCATGAACATTTTCATGGTACAACATCCATTCTTTAGAAAGCTGCTGCATTTCTCAGTAATCATTTTGGGAATTAGAAATTCAAATGCTTTTTGAAAACTTTTACAATTGTGGTATTAGAACTCTCATTACTAACCCTTAGAACTTCTAACAGAATTTCAAAGTATCTCATTAAACACATGGAACCATGGCCAACTACGACTTAACTTACAGCTATAAAAGTTGCTTGAAAATAAATGTGTTAGCATCCATGATGAGACATAAAAAAAGGAAAAAAAAATAAGATCTTAACAGTTAACGTCTCTAGACAGCAAACATAACCATTCTAAGAGAGAAGTTAGGGTAGAGGGCAAGGTGAAGGAGAAAACTGAAGTTGAAATCAGGACCATAGAACATGTTTAAAATATGCAACTCTTCATTAGCTTCTTTAAAGAAACTGAGGTTACTTGTGCCAGATGTTACTTTTGAACCACTTCAGACAGAGATACCAGACATTAGGTTTCTGCTCAGTTTATGCTTTTAAATATAACTATAAAATGGCACATGAACATACAATGTTTAACTTTTACATTAACAAGACGAAGTAAGCTTAATACACAACAGTGAGAATTCCAGAGTGTGATTGCCCTGACGCGATACACAGGCCCTATCTATGGCTAACTTAAGTAGCAGACCAATAAAAGTATTGAAATAAAATTATTGAAGAGTTTATTTTAAGATTTTAAAAGAGCAAAGAAAAGTTATTTGTCAGCCAGTGACAATGCAGCAGGAGAAACCAAACATTCTGCAGAACATCCAAACTTTGGTGGTAGGGACCTGGAAAAATGGGGTCACAAAACCAAGAGGTTACTGTTGCAAAGTCAGACGGTAAGGGCACAGTCAGTGAACGTGCATTTCTAAGCAAATTGATATGCTTTAATTTAGCATTACTTAGACCTTCATGCCTGTTGCAGCCCTATATGTTTTTTCCAATTTAATTTAGAATTTATTACTGAGCTTCAGTAATACACGAACAGTCTAGCCACAGTCTGGCAGACTAATACTTACCCAAGCCATAGAGAGCGATTTTTGTTCTACCCTTACGCAATAAAATGGGACTAATATCTATTTTCTCAACGGAAGATGAACGTCCAAAGTGATTCAACAATCCTGCACAGCTTAAAATATCCAATGCACACAGTGCATCTGCCTACAGAAAACATTAAGAAACAAATAAAAGAACTCTGAAGAGAACATTTAGAGTCCAACTGAAACAGTCTCAAAAGGGAGAGAATATCTTCCTTTCCTTAAGTACCTTCTGCAGTTGAAAACCTCTACCACATATACTAGCTTTTTTTTTTGTAGTACTCATGGGTACGAAAGCAAATCCCTTTTCCTTACAAGTTTTTCTTCATTTTAACAAGAAATTTAACATTAATTCAGAAAAAAACCAAACAAACAAAAAACCCACCAAAACCAACCAACCAACCAAATAAAAGACTTCAAAGAGCTGAAGTCTCTAAACTACTACAGAAAATTATCTGGTTAAGCTAACTACTTCATAGTAGGTCCAAATTTAAACTTCTGTTGTTAAAACACTCGTCTCCACAATACATTGCTATTTGATATAAAATGCAAAATTGTTAATTCAGCACACACACTTTGCTGCTTTCTAAATGTCTTTCTCCTGCTTACTTTTAGTTGTTGATTTTTAAACTAGCATTTCATCACTATGAAGACAGGCTGAGAGAGTTGAGGTTGTTCAGCCGAGAGAAAAGGGCTCCGAGTAGACCTTATCGCAGCCTGCCAGCTCCTGAAGGGGGCCTACAGAAAAGGCTGGAGAGGGTTTTTTTACAACGGCGGGTAGTGATAGGATGAGGGGGAATGGTTTTAAACTGGAAGAGGGCAGATTTAGACTAGATATTAGGAAGAAACTCTTTACTGTGAGGGTGGTGAGACAATGGCACAGGTTGCCCAGGGAAGTTGTGGATGACCCCTCCCTGGAAGTGTTCACGGCCAGGTTGGACAGAGCTTTGGGCAGCCTGGTCTGGTGGGTGGCGTCCCTGCCTATGGCACGGGGGTTGGACTGGATGATCTCCAAGGTCCCTTCCAACCCAAACCATTCTATGATTCTATGACTATTAGATTATATTCCTTGAAAATATAGGATGCATATCAATTACACATGCGTAAGTCAAAGCAACAGAATTTCCCTTCTTTAAGGAAAAAAGTTTCAGTCTCAATAGACAGAATTTGTTTTAGATATTTTCTGAAAGGCTACCATTTGAGAAGTGATTCTGTTCTCAATGACAGAAATCTACAAAAATTAGGAAATTAAACATAATTCACAGAGATCCCTTAATTTCTTCCCATTCTCTTTTTTAATGTCACAGTTAACTTCTTGTCACTAATTAACAGAATTCCTAAAGATACATAGAACATTTACATGAAGAGTGGAGCAACGGACTAGACTAGACTATTCAGCAAGAACTGTATTTCTATACAAACTTCTATTTCTGTAACACTATTTTCATAATATAACAGTACAGTACAACTATGATAATAGTTACCCCCGTGGGATCATCATGATTGCCATGAATACTAAAAATTGGAATAGAAATGTTGAGATTTCCATCTTGATAATTCACCCATGGAAACCTAAGAGAAGGAAAACAAAAAGTTAAACTCCATCTGCAAATCTGCGGACAATTCCCAATATTCTCCTCAAATTAAGGTCATCACAAACGCATCACGACAGCTCCACAAATGAGTACTAAATGGCTATGAATAAGCTTAAACTGCACAGAGTAAGAAGATCCTTACTCATGGACTGAACTTCCCACAGGGAACAGGGGGGCAAAACTATCCTGTATTATCAGAACAAGCCTGTGACATCCTTTACAGACTTAAGATTCTAAAAGTGACCTTGTAAACTGCCACAACACAAGCAGGCATAAAACTCCAAGCTTCAAGTCATGGACGATATAAATTATAAAAATCATAACATATTCACCCAATACGTAAACCAAGCCTCATACCATAATTTACAGGAACATACTTACTTGCTATAATGAAAATTAACTGCCTGATCACTCAAAATTTCAAACTGAACAGGACGATCACCCATGCAGTGTTTTCTTAGTGACTCCAAACAAGAGTGTACTGTTTTTCTGGAAGGTTTGTTTTCATGAAAAAGGTCCCCACCTAATAAAACAAAGTCCACCTGTATGTAACAAAAAGTTCTATTATTTAATACAATATCTTGAATTGCCTTGAAAGACTTCTACGCAAATTGTTTGAATTATTTCTTCTAAGGACTGCCACAAATCTCGTATCTGGCCTTCTAGGTAAAATGTGTTGGTAGTTGCAGATACTGTATTTAATTTTCTCATGTAAAGGCATTAACTAAATTGTTCATTAAAAGAAAACCAAACCAAAAAAATACCCATTTATGAAGAGCTATAGGAGAACACAATTGATGGTGTTGAAAAAAATGCCAATGTTTTAATAAGGGTCTCCAGATTGGCTCCAGAACATTTTGACAGGCATAAAGAGATATATTATCTTGTCATTTCGTGGTACCTAGTGGGAAGAAATCATTAGCTATCTCCACATTACTTTGAGAAGGTGTCGGTTTCAGTTTCTGTATATATTTAGCTTTTGAAAAACCATTAGGGAAAAAAAAATCACCTTAATCAAAATCACAAGTATTTTGACTAGGAAATATTCAATTCTTAAAACCAGAAACACCACTTCAAAAGTTTCTTTTTCCCACATTCGGAGTTGTCTGAAGACTTCGTATCATTATCCTCACTCTCCCCAATTGTTTTCCCTTGCAGTGATAAACCCTCTATAAACATCACTGGAACTGGTGTAGGCAATCTGAAAACACTGTTAACGCAACCAAGGTCATAATCTAGTAAGAATGCTCTCACAAAGGAATATCTATTCCTTTTACTAAAACAAAAGCATAACTGGTTGCAAGAAATAGTTTAGTTTAGTAATTTAATTTGATATTACTAAAGATTGCACCAGGACTAAGCTTTACAGCTTCTGGCAGGTTGGAACATATTTTCCACAGTCTCGGTACTTCACTTTCCAAAAAGCACCACTTACTTCATTTTTCTGAGCATGGTCCAGAATTTCATTAAAAGTTACAAAGGTATCATTGCCGCGCACAGGATCCTTCTCCAAATAGCCAAGATGAATATCAGTAGCAATAAGTATTTTAAATGTATCTTCATCATCTCTGAATAAGACACGAAAATTTGTGTTAAGAGTGCAACGCACATAAGAATTTCAACACAGACTTTATTCAGGTAAGCTCTCTGTCCAAAGGCATGAAATACACAGGAGATTTGTTACAAAACTCTATCAAAGTATCATTCCTGTAATATTCTCAAAACTTTTCACTACTATTGTTGCAAATAACACTTCACTAAACCAGCCAGTTTGAAGATTATATTATGCCAATCAGTCTACTCTAGTAAAGGGCTGCAACCATCTCTGCAAAACATCTAATGAAACACTAAAGAATCCTTTGTATGCTTTCTGCCTTTAAAAACACTTGGTGGATAAACATTCAATTTCTCTCTTGGCACTGATAGACTACACAGATATGAAAGCAGGTACAGTGATTGTTAAGGACCTGAGGGGAAACACAAATGCTGATCCAAGTTCTTCTTAACTCATTGCCAAACATACAAAAAACTTGCTATCCGACATGACAGAACTGCCCAGAGCTGCGGACAACAGGAGCTTACTGCGAGTTGATGGTGCTCATCTTCGTGCTGAGAGTCCTCTCAAAAAGGCTCTGGTCACAGTTCGGTCAGTCAGGTCAGGAAGCCGGTTTCTGTCTTCATAGATGCTGCGGGACAGAACCACAACTGCATGAGAAGGGAGGGCACAGGGATCCACCAGTCACCCACTTTGTTACTGGTGACCACTGCTTGCAGAACTCCTCAAGCAAAGATCCGCGCTTGCTTTAACCATCCACGGTCGTATCAGACACACGGCTGCGCCGGTAGGAGCACCCAGCCCCTTCACAGCGCCCGCCCGCGACCGGAGCACTGCTCCCC